GTGGATGAAAGTATCATGCTCTCCCAAGAGGAGGGATTCTTAACCCTAGTGGGTTCTAGTTTCAATTTAAACATCTTTTGTATGCATTTTTTCTGCCCTATCACGAGTCTCATTCCCTCTAATCCTACCTGAAGAAGGACACAGCCTCTTCTAATTCCTACCAGGAAAACCACCCAATGAAGGTGCTTAGGCCTGCAAAGGCAGGACTTAAAAATAGCATGTAAGGGGTTTCTTTGTTTTTGTTTTTCTCTCTAAAATTCTTTAGCCATGTTGACAAATTAAGACTTACAGGCTCATGATGGGCGGAAGCATTTCTGTCTTGTCCCCTCAACTATCTGTAGTAAACAAAACACAAAAGCATCAAATGCTGCCAATATCCCCAGTGAGTGAAAAGGAACTTCTTAAGCCTGTGTTGTCTAAACTGAGACCTAAATTCATTAAAGTGTTAAGCAGGACAAATACCCTTTCCTGTAACTAGATGCCTCTGCTGTTAGAAGAAACTGGACCAAAAACCTTGGTTTCTTTTGGAATCCATGTGGCTTGTGGGGACTGAGGAAAGCCTTGTGGTAGTTACTAGCTGACATAGGCGATAGCGGTTCCCAGGGGAAAGGCTGAGCATCTTCCCAGGATGTCAGGGACAGAGCCAGTGGGGTGGGTCTCTGCGGGGTCTCCACAAGGCCTTTGCAGGCAGAGTGGCTGCTCTTTTGCTGACTTTGCATTTCAGGCACTGTCACCACTTGCTCTTTGGAAAAGGAACTGCAGAGAAACGTGCCTGGCTTAGGAATGATATGCTCACCCAGCCTTGCTGAGGCAGGATGGCTGTGGAGGGCAGGTATACTCTAGGAATCCGTGCCCAGAGTCTGTGACCTGGGTCCAGCATCCGTATGGCCACCACCACATGTGAGGGCTGTTCCATGCTGTCCTCCTGGGTAGGACTGGCTCATCGCATCACTGCTAAGAGATGGGAATCTGAACGATGGCTGACGGATTTACGAAGAGGACAAAAACAGAGAGCAAGGAGAAGCCGGAACTGTTGGGAGGTATGCAGTGTCAATCAAGCTGTTCTAGGCTGGATCAGCCTTGTGCTCACAGAGGGACCCTGGTGCATCGACCCTCACCCTTGACTTCATCATATGTTGCTCAGGGGCTCTGGGAGACTCTGCATAAGCGTCAAAAGCTGAGAAGCAAACGTAGCCCCGTCATGGCTGCTATTCCTTTCTGTTTTGTGGCTAAAGCACCAAGATGAACTTTGCATAGAGGATTCAACCATGAAGAAAGTCTGAAAGCCCACATTATAAAGGGGGTCCAGTGGTCTCCAGCTCTGATGTTACGAGGATCTAGACAGAGGCATGAAAAAAGAGGGGATGCTGGGAAAGGAGCAGCAGGAGAAAAAGAAATTCCTGCAACAAATAAATCCCCGTCCAATCTATCTTAATCCCTGAAACTTTAAAGATTTAAAATCTGCTTTAAAAAAAAAAAGACACTGCAGTTCTCAGCAAATAGAGACACTTTAAATTATTTAGGTTTGTTATACCCACAAATCACCCATCCAGAACATTTTAAATAAAAAGCCAATAACTGTCTTTGCAAGAAATGCCCTTCTAGGGGCCATGTCTAAGACATTAACCTGAATTGGGAGAGAATACCATGAGTGACTTCCAAATTATAGTCATTTTATGAAATAAATAAATGAATTTGGCCACAGTGTGCTTATTTTCTCTGCATTGAAATTCAAGGAATATATGTATTGTCAGCAACTTTTGGAAACAAAATCACTTAGGGCCCTAAGTACATAAAGTAACATTTTTGGAATATTTCACACACAAAAAAATTCAGTACCTTTCTCAAGCCTTTTGCTTTTTATAGTGCTTAGAAGGGAGGGGAAGGGAGAAGGAGAGAGAGGGAGATCAGCACATGGGCTCAGGACTCTAGGTTCAGAACACTCAGCCAACCAGTTCCTAGCTGTCATCTTGCTGCCTGCTGCGTTCCTGCTACGCCCTCATTGGTGAGTGGCACAGAGCTAAGCTCAGCAACTCTGAGTAATACAAACATTCTGCCTTTGTTCTTACCTATTAGTCATAGTCTACCCTCCGAGGAGGTGAGTGCACAGGGCAAAAGCTGTTCAAAGGTAACCACAGGGTCGTCTCTTAGAGATGATGGAGGCATGCTGACTAGAGGGGTGAGATGCTTAGGACACATCCCTTTTTCTATCTGGGATGACCCTCAATGGCAAGATGAAATTCAGTGTGTCCACTTGAATTGCAAAAGCCATTCCAATGAAGTGTCCAAGATAAAACCAGAAAAGGAGAGAAAGCTATGAGGGCTGGATGTAACATGGTAGTTAGAATCCAGTTGTATCTTAGTTGGCAACCATTTCAAAGCATCTGTTTATTGTGTTTGAGCTTTTATCCCCTCCACAAAGCATTGAGAAACCGTTTCCTGTGTAGGATGCTGATGAAAATTCAAATCTAGGAGTATTTATTGGGTTCCTGCTGTTTTACCTAAAGCCATAGTACAGTCTTCCGGTCTGTAAAGATCTCATCTAAAGGAGAGGGGCATACACACACGGAGCACGGTGATCTAGTAAGGGAAATGCCACAGGAGGGCAAGTAGAAGGAGATGGAAGGATAGCGAAGGGAGCCTCCATTCATCCTGGGGATGGGAGTAGATCACAGGAGGCTTCTCCTAGGGTAGAAAGGTGAGGTGAGGGTCATGTTCTGTATTTGCAGGACACAGAGTCAAAGGCAAATGCAAGACCAAGAACAGAGACTTTTGTGTATCATGCTAAGAACCTGAGTCTTGTTCCTGGTGATGGGAACCCAAGGATGGGTTTGGTGCAGTGGGGGGTTTGTTGACAATGTTGGAAAGCATCCTCTGCTTTGTAGGCCCGAGGCAATGTCCATTGGGCATTTTGAGAAGACATAGTTTTTTTTCTATGCTGTTACCCAGATTTCCATTTCTTAGGATCATACATATGAAGAAATTCTCTCTGTGTATGTCTTTGCATGTTTATGTGTGTGTGGGGGGGTACATATGTGCCAGATCGCATGGGTGGTCAGTGGCAGGCGAGTCAGCCAATAAGCTTACAGGAATTTTCCTGTCTCTGCTCCTACTAGACATGAGCTGCCATGCCTGGTTATACACGGATTTTGGGATTTAAATTTAGCTCCTCACATTTGTGTGACAAGAACTTTACCCACTGAGCCATATCCCCAGGCCCTCACATGAAGGCATTCTGGATAAGGCTGACTTTAATGTCATTGAAATAACTCTGGGTTGGGAGCTGTGAGACGTGGTCTAATTCGCACTCTGCCTGCTCACTGTGTGGTCCTCGGAAGGAAATTCACTTCATATCTTTGCTATTTGATTTCATGAACTCTAAACGGATTAAGGCTATCTATTCCATCTGATCCCAGAGCACTGTGCCAGCATCAAGTGTTCTGTGATGTTTCTGAAGCTACCTAGACGATGCTGAGATCCCAAAGTCACGGGACAGGGAAGGAGTATGCAGTTCAGGCAGGGTCATGAGAACAGTTTGGCGAGGAGGTAAGTACATCTCTTAGTCGTTCTCGTTCCATGCCTCCCAGGCATGTGCATCTCCAGCCAGCCCAACAGAGTGTCTGAAGCTGGAAACAGCTCTGCTGATTTATAGGCAGGAGGCAGACTTGCTTTAATATCGCAACACAGAAAGTCAGTTCTCTTAAATAATCGGCTTGCAGATTTACGGCTGTGCCGTGTTCCAGGCTCGGTGCTGTCTCTGACCATGGATGGTGCTTCACTCTGGAATGGCTGAAGTCAGCAACTTCCCTGACACGGGGAAATAGATCCCAGGGCAGTAGCCAGCCCACTGGGTCAGCCCTTTTCTGCTGGCTTTTCTCCCTCCCACCACTTTATTACATACTGTCAAGCCTCTGGGGACCTTCTCAGAAAGCTGGGGGCTGCTTGGTTCTTGTGAAGCCAGAAAGCTTTGCAGAGAGAAAGAGCTGGGGCTTGTAGGTCACTAACTGGGGGGCAGAGTGCACCAGGGAGCTCCAATACTCCTTTTGTGTGTATGGCAGTTACTGTTATGGTTTGGGGGGGTGCAAATCATGAGGGGGGCTATTGACTCCTGGTTCCCAATAAAAACAATAATGCATTCGTTCTGCAAATATCTAGATGATACTTACTATAATCCAGTAAATGTCTTGAGTTATTTACCATTTTCAGGACATTATTTTTCTTAATAACACTCTCATATGAGACCATCACTATCTCTGTGTTATGGAAGAAGGGGGTGGGTAGTAAAAGCAGCTTCTTGAAGGTCACAAAGCTACTGAGAAGTGGAGAGCTCGAACCTGTGCTCCACTGTAAACAACCCACCAATTTAACAGCGATGCAGTTACTGGCTATTGGCTCTGCATCCTGGTTTTGCCTTGCTGCATCGCTGCCCCAGCCCTGTAGGACAGGTGCTCCTGTGACCAGTCCCACTGCATAGAGGAGAAAAACCAATGCAAGTGGGTGGCGAGTGGCGGAGCTAGGCTGCGAGTCCCACCGTTCTAACTCGAGAGTGTGCTTCACTGTCAGTGTGATGGGACGCCTTGCATGTTCTGGAAAGCTTGAAAGAAAAAGGGGCAGAAAGTCCACGTGGGAATTGCATTTTGCCTATTACATTTGCTATGGTTCAGTTAGGCTCTCCAGGGGCCTCATTCCAGTTTGGCAGGGCAAACACCAGCTCTGGAAACTGGAGGGTATAGAGGGTGGCCCGGCTTCTTGAATTGTTCTTTCTTTTTTAATGGGAACAGTTGACCTCCTTCCCAGCTATTGTGTCTTTGCCCAGCTCAACAGGAGCCTACCCTGCCCTGGGATCTATCATTGGTCCCTCTCTCCTTTGTTTCTCATGCCTGACCCCACCTCCCTGGACTCAGAGGGCATTGACTTTCCCATCACCAGTTCATCTCCTGTGAGCTTGGTCCTTCTGTCTTTATCTCTCCAGCATGTGGAGTCTGCATGGGTGGATGGGACACCTGCTGTCATCCCTTTGGCCACTTGTTCATTATGTGTGGGGTTGAGAGGAGCCTGACAACTGGAGTTCCACTGAAGCACAAGAGCTGGTCCCTGTCACAAAGAACTCACCGTCTGCCGGGCAGAGACTGCACAAGGTAACAATTCTAGTACGAGTCAAGTGGTTCTGTATTGAAAGATGCAGAGCTATAGCAACCAAGGGTAGAAATTCCTCAGTCAGATGAGTGTGCGTGCATGTGTTCTGCATGCGGGTATACTGGGAATAAGAGAGGCCTTGGGAAATGGAAAAAGCTTGGGTTGATTCAATCCAATGTTTGAATGTCAAGAGGGTGGGCGAAAGAGAAAGGGTTAGTGTTTTGTTCAGAGGGAACAGCGATTTGAAGGTGCTCAAATCCAGGACTGCAGGGTCCATTTGGGTGGCTTTAGAAAGTCATAGCTAGAGTAAGGGGACCTGAAAGGAGACAGAGGAAGGGGTGCAGCTGCCAGGATTTGGGGACTCATGAGATGAGAGACTTGATGCACAGAGCTCAGGAATTAGATGGATTTTTTTGTTGGTTTTTTTTTTTTTTTTTTTTTTTTTTTTTTTTTTTTTTTTTTTTTTTTTTTTTTTTTTTTTTTTTTTTGCAGCTGAAGGTTATAAATAGAGCACCATAAACAGTGCTCTTGAAAACCCCCCTTGCATGCTGTGTGCTTAGGCTGCCCTAAGGTTTTCTGAGACATGCGATTTGTGTTCAACCTCCCTGCAAACATCCCGTTTATTGTTCTCTATCTCCTCCAGACAAACTGTGTCCCAGCCACTGCACTGGACGTCCTCGAGGTCGGTGACAAAACCTGACCTTTTACAGCTCTTCCTGCACTGTGGCAGCTCGGCTGGCCTCTGCCTCTGTGCTCCACTTCAGCACTGAGACTGTCTGATGTATAGCAAGGCACCCAGTGCAGCTGGAGCAGACAGGGTGAGGGGAGAATTAATCTAGATGGCGAGGGAGGAAACGAGGAGCATAGTGATTAAATAATTACTATGTTTTGTGTGTATGCGTGTCCACATATGTGTGGAGAAGCGACATGGTTCCCACGTTCAGGTCAGAGATGGTTTTCTCCTTCACCGTGATGGTGAAGAACGAGCTTACACTGTCAAGCTGAGCAAGAAGTGCCTTCACCTGCTGAACTTATGCTTTTATTGGAGTGGAGAATCATTGGAGGTTCATGCATAAACATGTCATGATTTGATTGACACATGTGTGGTGTCCTATTCTGTTGCTGTTACAGAACACTTGAGTGAGTAACGCATTCTGAAGACACGTGTATTTATCTGTTAGCTCTGGAAGCGGAAGTCTAGGAAGTCTAGGAGCAAGGTCATGGATCTGACAAGGACCTTCAGGCTGTGTCAGCCCATGGGAAAACAGAGAAGTCAAGAGTGAAACCACAAAGAGACCATGTTGGAATATATTAGAACTCACGCCCACGATCACAGCCTTACTCCCTTGCTAACTCCATCAATCCACTTCGAGCAGAACCCCTTAGTGGGCACCACCTCCCAACTGCTGCACTGGAGATGGTGTTATCAGCAAAGGATTGCTGGGGAACACATTCGAATCCTAGAATGTCAACGACCAAGTAGGAGACACGGAAGAGGCTTTTGTCTAATCCAGATGAGCAATGTTGGCAGCTGAGATGTGAAGAAGCAGAGCACACAGCTGGATTCTGACTCTCTCACAGATTGATTCTGACTCTTACAGATTCTGACTCTCACATTATGCTGAGTTAGATGCAGACTATAAAAAAGGGACTCAAGGTGACTCGAAGGACCACAGCCTGAGCGTTTATCATAATGGGCTTGGTGTTGCATGAGCTGAGCGAGAGCCTGGAGTTTAAGCCCTTCTCCCTACATGTCACCACAGCTCCTACCAGAGTCCGAGGCTTGGAATCTCATTACTGAAACATTATTTCCTGGAAGATACGAGTAACTTAGTCACTCTGGTCTCTTTCATATCTCAACGCTTCCAGGCACCTGTGTACTCCATCTGCAGTCCCATTATATTTTCCAGAAGGTACTCTCTTCTTTGGCCTATTGCTAAGTGACAGGATTTACTGCAGCCTCTCCTGTCAGGCCTAAATCAGGCTCTGTGAAGCTGACATGCTGCTAAGCAGAAACTCTGGCACAGGCTCTTAGTAATGAAAGGGTCTTTCCACATTTAATATCGGCTCGGTTATCCCCAAGTGATTTCCAGGGGAGTGGACCAAAAATTGCCTATCAGTCCAAATGAAGTATGCCACAATTTCCTCTGTTTTCCAGTTGCTTTTTAATTTCCACACCACCTGCTCCTAGCTTCACCAGGGCAGACTCTGCCAGCATCACCATCCGGGATCTTGTCTTTCTGTGATGTATAACTCATCATGTCATGGGCCCGTTCCTGCTCAGTGGCTAAAAGAAGTATTTGCCAGTATAGCACACTCTGTAGCCTACAAGACATACACTGTGCTAACTTTCTTATATCCAGATGAGACTTTGAACTTGTTGGCAAAAGGTGCCACAACCCTTCGTGCGTGTGTGTATGCTTGGCATCTCCAACCAAGTCTAGGAGATGGAAAGAGTAGAGGTTTTGACATCTAGTCTTACTATTATTGTACTTACTAAGCTGGAGACCTCAAGTAAGTTAATTATGTTGCTTATATGCCTTTGAGTGCCCCAATAGCAGATTGGGTCTAGTGTCTGCCTTCAGTGACTGTCACAGGAGTCAGGGGACATCCGAGGAGTATGAACAGAGGTACGACATAAGAGGAACCTGACGTGCGGTAGTCTCAGAGCGTATGCTAATTCCTGTGGTGCCTCAGGTTTGTGACCGCATGAGTTTTGCCGTCTGTGATGTGAGCGTAGACTGAACACCAGTAGAGATCAAGTGCTTTGATGCTGGGGGACTTATGTGAACTTCCACCCCTGCCTCTGATGGCCTGTGTGATCCTGGCAAAGGGCATTGTCTCATCGTTCTCTGTTCTCATTTGGAAAGCAGAGAAGACGGCCACACTGGCTTTTAAGGGTTGTCATGTGGGCTAGCTAACTAGGTCACTCCTGGAGGGCACTTAGAACTATGAAGGGCACAGAGTCAGCGTTCCGCAGCTGCTGGGAACCGCCGTGGTCCAGGTTCCAGTCCACTAAGGAGCTGATTACCAATAGTGTGTAGTGAACAAGTCCTGTTACAACTTTGCAAAGTTCATCCAGATAGTTGATTTCATGTGAGTCTCATAATCCTGAGATTGTGTATGATTTTATATTTGAGAAATTGAGTACAAAGAGGGAAGGAAATGGTGAGGCTTACACACTAAGTTAAAGCCCATGTCAAGTCAGAATCCATCTTCTTGGCCCCTAATGAAGAAAGTTGACCTCTGTTACCACCTAGGGGGAGGATGTTGGCCAAGTCCTTGAAGTGGTGAGGAGCCTGGAGCATCCATAATACCATCCTCACATGGAATGACAATATCACTGTGCACATTCCTGTGTGTTATATAACCCCACACCCATGTCTTTCCATAAGGACCTAGCAAACTGGGTAGAGCCAATAGATAATAGAACTGAGACCAGATATGGTGCCTTGCAGAGTAAGTACATGGTTGGGCACACGAGACTTTCCCAAAGGGCGGATGCAGAAGTCAGTTAGTTCAGTATGGCAATCCGTGTGCCAGCGACTCATGAGCTCTGAGTTTCCCTCTGGCAAGCATGGACTCTCTAGTTATCGGAACTAGTTCACAGCAGAGAGCTGGCCAGACTTTGAGTTCTCGCAGAGCTGATATTCCAGGTGGTGGTAGTAGTAGTGTGTGTGTGTGTGTGTGTGTGTGTGTGTGTGTGTGTATGTGTGTGGCAGACAGAGGATGGATCAAGCAAGTTAGGAAGGTGGCCAAGGTACAACTGTCAACGGAGCAGTTGGGGACTGAGAAGCCTGAGCAAAGAGCAGGAGAGAAGCCAGTCCTACTGAGGGAAGGGCATTCTAGGCTGTAGGACAAATGTGTCCAGTAGGGCTTGGGACTAGAGAACCGAGGGAAGTGAGTCCAGGGGGCAGGAAATGTGAGCTAGACTTTGCAGCATTTGGCAGGAAATCCTGAGAACTGATTCTGACCTGTGGTCTCTAGGCATTTTGCTCCAAAGAGTCATGTGACACGCTTCAAGGATCATGTACAGTGTCTGGACAGACTCTGTCTAGGGGAAGAGGACACTTTCCTCTTGGGAGGAAAGACCTTCATCTCAGTCCCCCAGGTGGTTCATGCGGCTGGGTTGTTCCCAGAAGGCAGCATCAGAACAGGCAAGAAATGCACAGTTTTAGCATCAGTAGAAGGCCTGGCCAGCATGACTTGTTCAACATGATCGTTGCCTAATGAAACAACGTCAACTCCCTTAACCGGAGTGTCTCTTTTATGACTCAGCATTACATTTATTTATTGTGCCTGCATGTGGGAGGAGTGGCCGTGCATGTCTGGTGTGCAGGACAGTCGGGATGGCAGTGTTCTCCTGCTTGCAAGCTCAGATGAGGGGGTAGATCTGCTTTCAATTACATTTACCCAAAAAAGTGTGGGAGTGGGTTCTCTCCTTGTACCATGTAGTTTTTAGAGATGGAGACCAGGTTGTCAGGCTTGGGGGGGGGGTTAGCATCTTTACTGGTGGAGCCATCTCACTGGCCCATGTTTTATGACTTTTACAACCGTTTAGTGGCTTACCTCCCAGAATCCTCCCTTGTATTTTTATGAAGGACTGGCAGCCCTGATCCTCCAACACAAAGAGGCCCCTGAGTCCCTGGGACCATGCAATAGAGTAGTTGACTGAAGGGGTACACTATACCCCAATCCGCCATCCTATTTCCAGTTTTTCTTTCCAATTTAGCTTGGGATCTGAGCTCTCATTGAACTATTACCATCTGGAATGACATCACCCATAGCCTTCCAAAATGCCACTCGACAAGTAGCAGGTCCTCAGTACTAGGGAGCTAACTCCTATCTCCCTGGAGACTCTTCCAGCTTCACCCCCTCCAGGTCTACCCTCCCTCTCACATGGTGTTACTGGACTGAATTTAATCGTTTCTTACACTCTCATTACTGTCTGACCAAGATTTATGAGTTGATAATTGTCTACAGTAAGGCCACGGAGTATCGTTTTGTGTTGGGGGCTAACCTTCCTGGTGACATTTAGGATTAGAGGCACAATGAAAAGTGTGAGTTCTACAACCCCAAACTGGATGACGTGATCCAGGGCCTTGGATTTCCCAACTGAGGACACATGAAGCTGGGCACAAAGGACAAGTAGTCTCGAAGGTTCATTTCACAAATTAATTTTTCAGGGCGTCACATCCCTGTGTTGACTCTGGGCACGTTCTGAGTGACGTTTTCCAAGCAGAAGGATGACAACAGCTGACACCTCCGAGGCCTTTATTGAATTATTTTTACACACCATTTAAAAACCTTTTTTTGGGGGGGAGGGTAAATCTAATTGAAGGCAGTCCTCTCCCCTCATCCGAGCTTGCAAGTAGGAGAGTCCTGTGGGTAAGAGAATGAAGTCATGGAAATTTCTCCAGCTTAGCAGCGAGACTTGGTCCCTCACGTCCCTGGAGCCTGGAGCACATGCTAACAGCCCTTCCTCGTGTGTACAAAGCAGACAGAGACAATGCAAAGAAAACATTGCCCAGTCCTCATTGTGAAGCCTCTAGCCAGCCCGAGATATCCATGAGGGATTTGTAGCTCTAGGTTGGGGATACCTAACACTAAGTCACTGAGTCCTCGGGCCATTTCCTAAAGGAACAGGATTGCTGGCGTGGGTCCCATGAAGTAAATCATAAAGTAAGGAAGTCTAATAAATATGAAGCTGTGAGAATGCCTTCCTTCATGCAGGCATCCTTGGCTTACAGCTCAAGGTCATTTATTGTACCAAGCAGTGTACTCAGTACTCTAGAAAAGTCTGTAAAATTCTAAGGAGTCCACAGACTGGACTGTGTCTCCCCAGAAAGGCCAGAGCTGGGCTCTGCTCAGAGAGCTGACTTGAGTCTGGGGTTGGTGTAGGTGCTGCTGGTTTTATCGCAAGAGAAACCAAAGTCACTGTGTTTAGAGGGAGAGATTCGGGAGCAATGACAATCCTGTAAACTGGAAGCTTTGGGTATTAGAATAAGAATGCAGAAACCGGAGTCTTATGATGGCAGGGCTATATTTCTATTTTCCGTTGATATATTCAGAATGCTCTGGTCACCAGGAGAGGTCTCATATGGCTTATAACGCTGGCCCACAGGCAACGTGTGATGGTAACATCTCTGAAAGTATTATCTGTGCCGACGATTTGACCAGTGCCTTGGGAACGTGTGTTTATTCCATTTTGAACAGTTTCCCCGTGGACTGTTGGCCCCTTTCTACAACTTTAAAAGGGCCCAGCACACACACGCACCTGTGTTGCACAGTGGTGACAGCCACAGGTTTCTTCTGAGTTATCACTGTGTTACATTTCTACAGTGAAGCGGACTGTAGCGAGAGAAAGCAGGTGTGAGGGTCTGGATCTTAAATGACCCCCAGTGGCCCACGTGTTAAGGGCTCAGACCCCCAGATGGCACTGCTGAGGGATGGCAGAAGCTTTAAGAGGTGGGCAGTTTCTAGGTTATCCCTTTCTGTTTCTTTCCTTCCTGGCCATGAGATGGGCAGCTCCCACTGTACTCAGCTGTCCTGCCATAGACCCAAACAATGGGACCAACTATACGCAGAAACCTCCAAAGCTATGGTCTAAGTTACACCTCTTCTGTTTCCAGCTCGATTATCACCAGCATTTTGGTACAGCAACGGAACAGCACCAGATGTTGGTCTTAAGAAAGCTCAAGGTCTCCGTTAGCAGTTATTATTCACCAGTAAAGGTAAGTAGCATAGCTCTTACCGATATGTACTGCACAGTCCAAAACATCTTCCCTTGTCTGGGACCTCGTCTCTTTTTTGTCCAAGACTTGGTTTCAACTTGGTTCTGCTGCGCTTTCTTTGTGGAGTCTGCCTGCTGCCCTTTCGGTTTAGTGTCAAGACTTTATTTCTTAAGCGTCTGGCTTCCAGCTCACTGAAAATGTTGGCTTGGCTCCCTCTTACCATTCCAGATGGCTTCAAGCAAGCTCTCAGTTCACATCTGGCTTCTTGAATCACCACCTGGAGTTCCTACTGTGGCGTGGTACACTTCTGACCCTGTGTCCCAGAGATTCCCAACCCAGTCATGCGCGGGCGTGAGTTGCAACTGTCTGAGCTCAGCTGCTAAAAGTGGCAGGGATTTTGTGAGGCTGTTGCTAAAACCCAAGTCACATCATCTGCAATTAAATAAAGAGCCTCCAAACCAGAGTTAGCATCAGCCGAAACCTGTTTCCAAAAGCTCCTGACTAGAGAGTATCTCTACCTGTGGGTAAGAAGTAATAATATGGTGACATTACTGGTACCACTTTCCAGTCCATTCTGTGACATCATGCAGCCACTTGAAATCAGACTGGCAGGGGACATTTATAGTACGAGCATGGCAGGACTACAAACTCAGGCTTTCTGGCGGAGGACCGGTAAGTGCTTAGCAGCATGTTACTAAAAGACAGTGTTTTCACTGTGGTACTCAGAGGCTGCTCCAACTTGGAGGCTACTCAAAGTTACTCCCACATCTTGGTCCCTCGTGGGATCGCCACCAGTTGCAGGCAGAGGATCAGTATCTATTCTTTCCCTGTTGCGAATTCTTCCTTTATCAATACTGCCCCACCCCTAGCCTATTTGGTGAAAGAAGATAAGGATGTAGGTTTACCAAGAAAGGGGGGATTTTTGGTAACCTCTGTGATCTCACAGTGTGACAGGAAGAAACAGCGTACCAGCAAGGCACCAGTTTCCAGCAGGGGTATGTTCCTCATTGTACAGAGAGCCTGTCAGTAATAACTGTCTTTCAAAATAGAGGGGGGGGGTCTGTCTGCGTGAATGTGCCCACCCATGCAACTGAGCACACAGTAGTGTAGGTAAAGGAGTCATGCATTTGGGGATGATAGGAGGGAAGGGACGAGAGAGTGGAGGATGGCTTATGGATACCAAACAGGCCTTTAAGGTAGATGTTTGATAGGTAGACTTCTGATGTCAATGCTATCTAAAGCCTTTGCCCGGTGCCTGCTTTGGTATGTCTAAGGGTGACTATCAGCTGGTATCACTGGGAGCTGTTGGGGAGCCTAGGGAATGATAAATAGTCCTGGGCTTGGCGCATTCATAAATTTCATAAAATGATAACTAGTTAACACTCTCCAAAGGCTCCGAGGAAACAGCCAGTGTGACCCTTCACATACACCACCCGGCTTCACACATTTTATAATTAAACTGCCTTCAAGTGACTTATAACTTGGGATTTTTCCTTTTCCTAATAGACTGCTTTGGCACCTTTTAGGACTTGGCCGTTAACCCGGCTGCCTGTATTTCAGGAACACTCTTGAGTTCTGGAGAATAAAGAGCCTATGCTAAGCTTACAAAAAAGTGTATTTCATACAGCACACCAGGGCTACCACCACTGTCCCTGCCGACTAAGTCACATGACCCAGTTCATCTCTGTCAGGAGTGTCACAGCCTGAAGTCTGTGACTCTGAGCATCTCAGAATACAGAGATGAGATTGCTCTTCTGCTGGAAAGCCGTGTCCTAGCATGACATCTCGGACAACTGGGACCTGTGGAGCCATGAATCTGAATTTTTTTTTTAACAGTTGCCTCCAGCATGCTGGTGGCTTTATTTCTAAAGTAATTGTTTTAATTGTGTAGCTTCAGATTGTGGACACATGTCTTCTGTCTGTGTGTTTCCTCGCTAAAACAGAGCTAGCACTAAATGACCTTAGTAAAAACTGTCCTTTCTCTGCAACACATGGCTAACACGGAGAAACATGTCTTAGCATATCTGTGAACAGGGCACTCGAAGAAGTTTATGTGTGAGATAGTCAGCCAGTGCTGCCCTAGCTGGCTGCTCCCAGGGAGGATAATTGAGGCTGACCAATGTTAAGTAACTTGCCTGTGGTCCCATGTCTCCTAAGTGACTGTGGAAGGCCAACGGTTAACACAGATCAGGGCAGGGGTGAGGGAAGAAGAAAGAGCATGGATTTGGAGGGGCAAATGAGAAACCCAACCCAGGGCTTCACAAGGAGGGAAACTTTGGGTTGTGGTGTGTGTGTGTGTGTGTAGAACCCTTTTAATAATAGGGATGTCACAGAGGTGGGTGGGAGATGTTTCATTGGATTCAAGGAACGTAACCAGATTACTATATCAAACCTGCCACTGAGGGTGGTTGACTCTTTACTTTGTATTAGTGGTTTGGGAGAGTCTGCAGGGGAAACCAAGCCAAGTGGGTGAGTTAAACATGGCTGCTATTCACTTTCAGTAATGAAAGATCGTCCTGTGCATTTTCAGAATTACATCCATTTTCTTTGGCCGGGGCAAGATGGCTTGGGGAGATGAGCTCAAAGTCTGGGCAGGTGGTTAGGGCTAGGGATCCTAGGCAAGGGTGTTTTGTAATGATGGAGTCTAAACAGATAAGCCCTTAGTCCAGAGCTTGGGACACGCTGCCTGGTGTGACCTGGGCACCGACAGGAATACGGCCACATTACAAATATGGATTCATCTGCTCTTTGGCAATCGAGAAACTGTTTACCGAATGCCCGTTGTGCCTGGAACTTTGCCAGTCTTGGAGATACGACCCATGGGGCAGACAAAGGGTGATGCCATAGAAATAAAAAAAAATGCATTTGGTCTTAGCCAAGAGGCTGAGAAGTGATAGGAATGGAACAGATGACACGACTCTAAGGGCTGCTGACACTTGTTTAGGATGAAGCCCCCGTAGACTGTGAGCTCCACAAAGACGTGGAGTTTGTGATGGCTGTCTGTGCTCCCTGCTGCAATGCTAGCGACTAGAGCAGCGTGTGCCGCATGGTGCGTGATGATTGCTAGATAAACATACCAGCCACCATTCCAAACAGATACAGATGCAACAGGTCACCTCATTTCACGGCCGCCCTGCGAAGCATCCAGACTGTTCATGTCCCTGGCCCCAAAGAGGCTTATTGAGTAGAGATGACTTGCAAAGATGTCTAGGGTGTCTACTTGCAACCACTTCTGTATGTAAAAGAGATGGTGTATTCAAGATGTGCTCGTGGCATCGTTTTTTAGGGCACAGTGGGCACTAGGGAAGGTTGCCATGCCTGGTGATACAGGACTTCTGTATCACTATGTTTGGATTTGAACTCCAAGGATGGGGCAGGGCCCCATCAAAAGATGGCCACCTTTGAGACAGAGCGGCAATTTTCAGACCAGGCATGCACCTTCCCATAACAGCCGTTTCATTAGGCATTTACCCTGTGTGGTAAAGCTTATGCTAAGAGCTGAGGTGAACTGGAAACATGTGTCTGAGTTTGCACTTTCAGAATCTGTGAGGCTCCATATACAGGAGGCAAAAACAGTAGAGAGGCCTGTGGCGTATGGTGAGCCATTGCAAACCTGAGGGGAACATGCCTCTGCCCTCTCTGTGGTAGTCAAAGGCCTGGCACAAATCACAATACTCTTGAGGGTCACGAGATACATGAACGTCCTCTGTGCTGCTCGAGGAGCCCCTTGTCATCCTAGGGTAGAGTTTTCCTTCTCAGGTCTGCCTTTGTTTGGTAGGTTTTTGGCTCCAAGGAGGCTTAGATTTAATGAAGTGTCTGGAAGTCCTCAGGGAGAGGCAACTGAAGGGGGCAACTAGACTGTGAATGCCAGGTAAACCACGTGTCTGGAAGACGTGGCAATGGATCTTCTCCCATCCGCACACCGATTTCCCCACTAAAATGGTCATTGATAAAGGTTGGCCCCTACTGAGTCCACTGGGGCTTTTTATGTCGTAGGTTCACTCGGAGTTTGCCCTGTGTGGGGCGGCTGCCTCCCAGGACTCCAGTCTTCCTTTGAACAAAGGAGCTCCGTGCATACTCCTTTGTAATCCTAAAAGGCCACAGCTTCAGACTGTGCTGGATGAGGACTCACTGAGGTGTCTTCTTACTGGCTTGTGAACCCTGGGAAGCCCCAGCTGTGCAGAGAACAAGCCGTGGAGTAGCTTGCTTTGGTGCAGAGCGCCGACCCACCAGTCAGCAGGCTGGTGATTGATGGAGGTCTGTGCTCTGGGTTATGTGAGCTTGGGATGTTTTCCAGGGAAAAATCTGGTCATGAGGCAAGGGCTGGCCAGGTTTGAGATAAGTGTGAAAAACACATTACAAAAGGCAACAAACTGAACGTTTCCTGACAAGAGAACCGGCTCTATTTAAGGTGTCTCTGTGTGCCTGGGTCCCTGCAGGGCTGGAAGCTGGGTGTGTGACAGTGTGCAAGCATGGGGAGTGGATGTTCACAAGTGTTAGAGAGTAGAGAGGAGAAGAGACAGAACATAGACGTGGCCGGGGAAGGCAGGATATTAATCATGCTAAAAGCAATCTGGCCCCATGGGATTTATAAGGATCCAACTAAAATCAATGGGAAATTTTATGAGACAATTTTCTTCTTGCTGGCTCTGGGGATTGTTTGAACTCTCATGGAGCTTCGGGCGGGGCTGGCTCAGAGTTCCTCCAGTTCTCACACCTGGGTGTGAGACTATGTCTTTTTCATGTTGGCAGCTTGGAGGTGAGTCATTTGGAAGGACTGCAACCCCGACCTCCTGATTTCCTGGCTCCTTTGCGCAGAACTCAGGCTGTTTGCTAGCAGTCTGGAAGAGTGGGAGGAGGAAGGGGGTCGGAGGGCCATGACCAGTGTGTTTTGTCTGTGGCGTTTGGATGGATGGGAGAGGACAGCAGATGCAGAGGGCTGAGGTCCTCAAGTGATGCCTGTGGCTCCTCATTTGCCTCAGAACCTATCTAGATGCTTG